CGGCCGAGCGCTCGGGTGGTCGGCTTGGCTCGCAGTGGGCGCGCCGTAGAGTCGCTTGCTTTCGCCGGGTGTCGCAGACGACCCCGAAACGATCGCCCTCGACGGCCCTCGGAGGGTGCGCTGGTCGGACGGGCGAGTTTGCGCTGCGGCGCGCGATAGCCGTGGCCCCTCCCCCGGCCCGGGGCTGTTTGTGTGGGGCCAAGAGAGGAAACGCGCGTGGTGGTTGTGCGGCTCTTAGGTTTACGGGGATGGTGAGTGGGCCATGTGCTCCCCCAGAATCCCGAAAGTTTTTGTTGGCTACAGAGAATTTAAACTTCTGTTCGCCCCGGGTTTATTCATTTCCTCGAAGCACGCATCTCCTCCATTCATCACGCCAGGTGATCGTTGGGCATCTACACCGTGCAGACCTTGTGCCAAGTGCCGGTGAATAAGCCAGTTCTGGGTTTCAGAATGTCCCGCTCTGGTGGAGGGAGTCCGCCAGCGGCCAGATAGTCCCATGACTGCCTGGTTGCAAAGGAAAACGCGGGGTCACCAGGAACATCCCTTTGACCTGTGGGTGTCTCCTGGAAGGTGCGGTCTGAAGGATGAGTGTGAGCTCCCAGGAGAGCGAGGGGAAACGCTCGAGAAGAAGGAACAGTATCTGTATCCTTGGGCAAGACCATCTATGGTGAGGGAGAGGTCAGAGAGGCACATTTGTTTGGTCTGCTCTTTTGTTCCTCTGATTTTTCCAGATTGAGTCGATTTTTGCTTTTACTTTGCTCAGATTGAGGTAGAGAGAAGCCTGTATTCAGACCATGAACTTCGTGCTCTGGCGGAAGCCCAGCATCTGGCGAAGAAGAAAGCAGACCTTTATGATGAAGAAGATGACGGGAAGAATATATTGCTGGTGCAGGATTTGGAAGATTCATGGGAGCAGAAATTCCTACAGTTCAAGCCTGGAGCTCGCGTAACAGGTTTGCGGTCTTTTCTTGCCAGCAGGAGGACAGGGAAAGAGTTTTCTGGCTTTCGAAAAAGACATGGCTTAGCCCATGATTGATGTTTTAAGCAACAAATAACGGCAAGTGACAGAAGTTTTTCAGGAGGGAGAAAGAGACAATCTCTTGCCATTGCTCACATCAGCCCTGAAAGGGTTGTTAAAGACCTGCGTTCTTTTCCAGTGGGAGTAAAGGCTTTGGGATGGGGATTTAGCTGTCCCACCTCGGTGAAGCTTGCTGGATGGGTCTGAGCTGGGTGCCTACTTGGGCCCAGGAGTGGGAGAGATTAAGCCATTTCCTGCAAGTTATCTGAAGTCCCTTGCAAAGTCGGCCTTGAGTCCTCTCACCTTTGTTTCTCAGATGAAGCGCCGAGAGAAAGGGCTCCTGAAGTGAAGCCCGGGCAGGGTGGCGTTTGCTTCGGTTAGTGTTGCCGCGCTTCCAGAGGCTCAAGCAAGGGCTCTATGTTTTGCTCTTCAGAGAAGTTGAGCTTTGGTTCCCGCTTAGGTTTTCGTTTTCTCAAGAGGGTAAGACTCTTCCAGGCGTCAGGGCCGTGCAAAGAGATGTCCTTTGAGGGCAAGCATTGTAGCTGGGCCTGGGAGGAAGCCCTGCGACTCCAGTCTCCTTGTTCTGGCAGATCACGAGCTCATCTCCTTTTCTTCACAGAAGCTGACAAAAAGAATGACCGGACTTCACTGCACCGGAAGCTTGACAGGAACCTTGTCTTGTTGGTCAAAGAGAAGCTTGGCGACCAGGAGGTCTGGCTGCTGCCCCAGGCGGAGTGGCAGCCCGGGGAGAGCCTCCGTGGAACCGCCGAGAGGACCTTGGCCTCGCTGGCAGGTGAGTGCCACCTGCCTGCACCTGAGGCTCACGCAGCCTCGGCCACAGGCTTCACAGGCCAAGGGCGAGGACGGCTCCGAGGGTCAGAGCTGGGAGGTGAATGCAGGCGGCGGGTGAAGCGCCTTGAGGGAGTCCGGCTAGGAGTTTCCTTCAACCGGGGGGCGTCTGTCTTTGTCACCCCGAGATGCTGACATTTCACTGCAGGGTTGACGCCCCTCCCTTTTTTTCTGCCCTGCCTCTCGCACCCGCACTCACCCTTCGGCAGCTCTGCGTCCCCCTCGGACAGTGGTGTGCCCCCGCCGCCGGTTGGCTCTGGCCGGGCCCTCCTCACCCCACAGCGCTGGCGCCGGCCCCTTCTCTCTCCAGACCCGGCTCTCGGCTCTGCGCCGTCGCCAGCAGTCGCGAGGGGCTCGCTGCTCCTCGTGAGGAGATGCCGATGGAGACGGCAGCGAGCTACCCCTCACACGTTGCTGGGACAATTTGCGCGCCACGAGAACCAGCAGGCGCCGGCCCGGACGGGCGCAGGCCTCAGGGCACTGCCCCGCGAGGCGCTGTGTGCAGCGGGCAGCGGAAAGCAGCTGGACGGCCGCGTGACGGCCGCTCCGGGCTTCTGGGGTGGCAGGAGTCTGGAAGGCTTCTCGCCGCGTTCCCCAGCGCAGGACGCGGAGACCCCTCCGGGGGCTCGCGGGGTGGGGGGTGCCCTTTTCGGAGAGCAGTGCTAGGAAAGAAG